TACAACACTCACAAAGCACCCTGACAGAGTAAAACAGACAGGTGAAGGAAGAAGGAGAGGAAGAGAAAAGGAGAAAGAGAACAATAGCTGATGCTAATGCTGAGGAGCAGCTGACAGCAGGAGATAGACGAGGGACAGAAACACTACAGGAAGTTCAAGCAAAATGGGGGAAAGAAACGATGAAAGGAGACAGGCTGAGAGAGGACGAAGGACAAAGCCTGTGGGTAAGAGAAATGCACAAGTCAGGGACGTTCTCTGTATAGCAAAAAAAAATGCATTTTCTCCAGTCCACATATGATGCATGTATAACAAGAAAAGGATGCACTGGTGAACGTGACAGAAGTGTAATCCCTGGCACCGGGCCGAGAGATTTAGCATGCATAGCTGCGGTGGCCCACTTGGAGCCAGCCCAGAATGCATTGGGCTCGGAGCATCAGGTGCCTGCACTAATCTCATCTGCTAGAGTGGAGGAAATGAATAGTATCCTGAAGAGCCTCAATGAGACGATGTGTTTCACATTAAATAGTGAACATAACTATGAGGACAGGGAGATCTGAGAGCAAGGTGTTGGCATTTCCTAAATACCATATCCATCAAATTACTATACAGCCACATGCTGCTAGAAGAGAATCTGAGCATTTGGTTAGTAACTTATTTTTTTCTTATGAAGGTTAAGTGTGTAATCTCAACCTCAATAGCAATGCCAAACTAACTTGCATAAATAACTTTTAGGTTTTTAAATATTATGAAGAAAAAAGGAGGCTTATATATGTCATGATTTAATGCAGAGCGCCTAAACATTTTCTTATGAACGGCCAAAAAATAAACTTGATTAAGGGTGGTGAGCCGAAGTTAAATAAACTATTACATTAAAGTTGTCATGGTAATTCCCTAATTTATTAATACATTCATTCATTCGTTTTATTTTCGGCTTAGTCCCTTTATTATTCTGAGGTCGCCACAACAGAATAAACCACCAACTTATCCAGCATATGTTTTACGCAGCGGATGCCCTTACAGCTACATCCTATCACTGAGAAAAAAGAGAGAAATCTATACGCACTCACACACATACGCTACGGACAATTAAGCTTACCCAATTCATATAGTGCATATCTTTGGACTGTGGTGGAAAGTGGAGCACCCGGAGGAAACCTACGTGAACACGGGAAGAACATGCAAATCTCCACACAGAAACACCAACTGACCAATTTTTTTTAAAACATTTTTTTAAGTAAATATTGTGCAATTAAAAAAAAATCCCTTTAATAATAATAATTAGTATTCCCTACATTTATATAGAGATTTTCTAGGCACTCAGAGCGCTTTTACACAATGGGGGGAATCTCCTCATCCACCACCAGTGTGCAGCATCCACCTGGATTACGCGATGGCAGCCATTTTGCGCCAGACCGTACACCACACACCAGCTGATTGGTGGAGAGGAGAGAGAGTGATGTAGCCAATTATGATATGGGGAGGGTTAGGAAGCCATGATGGACAGAGGCCAGTGGGCAGATTTGGCCCATTTTAACGACCACAGAGAGTCAGGACCTCAATTTAATGTTTTATCCGAAAGACAGCGCTCACAGAGCAGTATAGCGTCCCCCTCACTATACTGGGGCATTAGGACCCACACAGACTTTAGGTTGAGCACCCCCTGCTGGCCTCACTAACACCACTTCCAGCAGCAACCTAGCTTTCCCATGTGGTCTCCCATCCAGGTACTGACCGGGCGCAGCCCTGCTTAGCTTCAAATGCCCTTTATTGGGATAAGACAGTGGAAATTTTACAGACAGGAAAGTGTGGGGAGCAGAGATGGGGGAAGGATCGGAAAAGGACCTTGAGCTGGGAATTGAACTCGGGTCACCATGAGCACCTTAGTACTATATGTCGACGCACTAACCCCTAGGTTATTGGCGCCGACTGTTCAAACCAATTTTATTAATATTTAATAATAAATTAAAAATAATAAATTTTATAAAAATAAATTTTAAATGTGCCTTAATTACATTTTTAATAATTATATGTTTTTTACATTTTATAATAAACTTCTTACAACAAAAACAAACAATACCATTTATAACACAATAGTGCTCAATGATGAATACCTTGAATACTCTTGATTTGCTCATCAAGGACCCTTACATTAAAAAAAAATCTGATTCATTCATTCATTCATTTTCTTTTCAGCTTAGTCCTTTTATTAATCCTGGGTCGCCACAATGGAACGAACCGTCAACTTATCCAGCACATGTTTTACGCAGCGGATGACCATCCAACTGCAACCCATCTCTGGGAAACATCCCTTACACACTCATGCACTACATACAAAGTAGCTTACCAAATTCACCTGTACCGCATGCCTTTGAACCCACGCAAACATGGGGAGAACATGCAAACTCCACACAGAAATGCCAGCTGACCCAGCCGAGGCTCGAATTAGCGACCTTCTTGCTCTGACAGCACTACCTACTGCACCACCGTGTTGCCTAAATCTGATTCATACATACTTAATTGAAACATTTTATTTGCTTTTTTTTCTTTCTTAACAATTGAACAAACAAACAAACAAAAGGTTATTTCAAAAATAGAAATGACGAGGTCTGTTGAAGGCATTGGCCCCAACCTTCGCATCATTCTCCCTCTCTTTTCAGATAGAATGGAGGGCCAAATCAAAGGTTCCCATTGGGCAACTTTGCCCAGTGTGTCCTAGTTTGGCCATCTTTAGTATAATGTAACAATGTCAACTAAGGGAATGTCATCTAAGTGACTAAATGCACAATCCTGTGGGTCGGTCAGTATTCTTTGTAATGGTTTCCTCTTGGTTATGTGTTAGCACTTCATTTATTTTCTATATTTATTTATGATTCCAGTTGTGAAATAAGTCCAGCTAAAATACATTTGGTGTTTATACTGATCTCAGATGACAGCAACCAGCAGCACACATTTAGGTTGTAATATTTTATCAACAACCTTTTTTTCTCACAAAGGTTAAATATGTAATATCAATCTCCCTTGCAAAAAACAAACTGGAACTGCATAAATAACTACATCTTAAAAAAGAAAATGTGATCTACCTCTACCACTTCTACACCTGTCCAACTTATCAATGTGTAGTTAGTAAGATATTTCTAATTGACTGCCTGCAAGTCAGATATTTTAGTCAATGGCATGACTGAGCCTGTGGATAAAATTAAATAAATCTAATTATTTGAAATACAAATAACAAAACTATTGACTTAAATTTAAATAAACATTTTAAAAGATATTAAAAAATGTAAACAGTAATATTATAATATTAAAATGAAAAAAAAGAACAAAACTAAAAGTCAATCCAAATATTAGTAATAGCATCGAAATACTACAATAACAGTTTGAAACTAATGTTGAATACTAAAAATAATTGCATTAGATATTAATAACAATAACAATTGTTTATATCAGATTGTTTCTCCATCTGCTATTCAAACCAAAAAAGGTAGACCTGCTCAAACCAATACACTTCTACAAAAGCACAAAGTATACTTCAGTTTATATGGAGGGCCAGTGTTCTGGAGAGTTTAGCTCCAATCCTGATCAAACACACCTGAACCAGCTCATTAAGGTCTTGGTAGATATACTAAAAACTTTCCTGGCAGGTGTGTTCAAGCACGTTGGAATAAAACTCAGCAGGACACCGGCCCTGCAGGACCGATTGTGGACACCCCTTACCTACACTGTAATATAAATATAAAATAAGGTCATGACTACAAATTTTGAAGTTATGCAACTCAATATTTTAGTCAGTTTGATTGAAATAAGTTCAGAAAAACCTAATTTGATTCCACTAAAATAATTACGGCAGCAAGCATTTTTTTACAGTGCATGCAATAAATGCCCACCTTGAGTATATTAGAGGGCAATAAAAGATACCCACAACTGTTTTAAACAAGTGCAAAGACATTCTAAGTGATAATAACTTTTGGAGAGAAAATCTGCTGATAATGGACAAGAATCAATATTTCAATAGTATATATGCGTTAACATAAAAAAAAAATGCACAGACTTTTTCAGCTCCAGCTTATCACTGAAGAAAAAGTCCAGTTCCTCAGTGTGATGAAAGACAAGACCAGAGAAAGAGAAAAAAAGCAGATCTATGGAAACCTGCTTTCTCTGAGGAGAGCATGCTGGGCACGTTCTCCTTGTATGATGGCACCCAAGGGAAGACGCTTGCTTTGATCATAATGATCGCTCTGTGGCTTGTTGGCCCTTGATCAACAGAAGCCTACACTAATAAGCCAACACTGCCTATAAGCTCCAATTCTGATCCAGAATCACTTTTCCCTCTTCAAATCCAGCATTACTAGTTAGAAAGAAAAAGCTGACCGTAGATGACCTGCTCTGAGCAACTTCATTTAATACTCGCTTATGAAAAACAAATATCTTCACCTCTAAAAGACAGTGTTCATACAATTTCAAATAGTTTTACCTTTGGCTTCCTTTCATAAAACTACAAAGTAGTCATACAGCAATCAATTATTTGTATTTTCAGGATTTCTGCAGCTTTCAGCAAGTTAAATTTAAGACTTTTAAAGACATTTTTTAATAAATTGAATGACATTTTAGACTAAGGAGTTGTTCAAATGGTCAAGTTGATATATATATAAAAATATATATATATGGTTTTATTTAGTGCTACCTTTCGCTAAAACTAAAGGTTAATCAAAAATTAAATCATAAATAAATAGAAACAGTAAAGCCTAAAACTTAAAAAGATCTTTAAAAAAAAACGAAATAACATTAAATTACAATTAAAACTGAAACTAATTATTTAAAAATAGAAAAACTATTCAAAATATAATATTATATATATATATATATATATATATATATATATATATATATATATATATATATATATAATATAATACATGCAACAAAGGTCCAAGGGTATATAAAAATATATATTTCTTTTTGAAGATCCACCATATGTATTTATGCAAAAGTGCTAGACTCACCGCACTCCTTCACAGGCTCATCAGACCAGTCTTTGCAGTCCCTGATAGTGTCACACACTTTGCTGCTATCGATACACTCCCCACTCTTACACATGAACTTCAGCGGCCCTTCACATTTGTTGGCTGTGAATGACACAAAATAAAAGGTTCTTACACTTCTGATCTTTCAAGAGTACCACAAAAACAATCTGAATTATGTAGAGTGGGAACTGCTGTTACACCAAACACATTTTCAAATGACACTCTTGGATTTTTTGCTGCATGGTGACAACAGACATTGAAAAGAGGCTGTCAACCTTAAAGCAAGCACATAAAATCACTATAAAGTCCATTTATAAATTGAAAATCTTTTAAAGCCTGTGGAAATCTGTGGCTTTAGGGAATTTGGAATATGATGCATGAGGTATAAGCCTTGCTTAAAGTGGAATATAATGAAAATCTGGATAGACAGTGCTCAGCATATATAAGTACACCCCTCACAAATCTCTCTTTTAAATTCATATTTTTTTAATAGGAAGCTATACAATGTTATATTTGTGCATATACATTAGGTTAATCAGTATTAAAGCCAAATCTGGAGCTTAGTTAACAAAATAACTTACGATAACGGTCCCTAAAACTAGTACACCCAAATTTATATGTTATAGAAAAATATTAAATACAAATTTTAAAAAGAGGAAAAGTCTCATTCTTATGTTAATTCAGTGAGTATCAGTCCAATCAGAACAAAACACAAAGTCTTTTATTAATACAGACAGATAATACATAAAAATATTATTAAAATGCACACTCATGGCGGTGTTTGTACAAAGTTTCTAATGAGATTACAACAATGATCATTGTTTCCTCTTAATTTAAGTTTATCTGAGTTTATAATAAATTTATTGTTTGTATGGGACTCTTATTTTGTAAACATGAGACAGCGAGAATAAAGGCAAATACTATGCTAATGGCCACTGCAATATCAGCCTACAGTATAGAAGGCTTACCTTACTGCTGCAAAGTATCATTGTTATGGTGCTCGGCTGTAGCACTGATTAAATAAACAGAGTGATGACAGATGACATTTGATGACCTAAAATTGTCTGTATGCACAAAAGTGTGCAATTTCATTCAGATCATTTAAACATTTTTTTATGCAAATGTGTGAAAATTTACATTAATTCAGTTTTTATATTAATTCAGGAATATTATTGAATAATATGCAAATGTTTATATGATTTATGTACAATACAGCTTGTAAAGTAATATTACAATGCGTAATAGGAAGCCTTTTAGAACATATATGATATGAGAGACTGATGTCATTTACCAAACAAGTGGTTCTAATTGGATTTGCACTGTTAACCTTAAACATTTTCAAACATTATATATTTTTTTTTATTTCATGTAAGAAGTTTTTATTGACTATTCTCTCAAAATCATTGTGCATAAATCAGCAAATAATGTGCTGAAATAGTAACAGGGTATATGCAGCAATCCTAAAGGTAATTTTAATACTTTTATAAGACTTTTTAAAGACCTTCTCAGAATATTTAAAGACCTCAACGCCAATTCAAGTTCTTGTAGTTAAATAAATCAATGGAGCACAATCATGCAACAGAACTCAGATAAGCTCGGAAGAAACAAACTTGAAAGAATAAATTACGTGGTTGTTTTCAGTGACGGGCTTCAGCCACTGTCTTTCTCCAATCAGGAGTACGCAAACGTACATTTTGCAATTGTGCTGTCTGTTTCACTCTATGGTTTTGCTACATGCGGAGAGCGTCACATTACCTTTCCACGTTTGTCGCATATTACGTGACAACACCCGGACAAAGGAGCTTGGCTGGATGCGCCCTGCCCGAACCAATCACATGGATTAAGGAAAATAAGTATAGTGGGGTCAAACACTTCGGACAATGCTTGAACAAAATTTAAGACCTCGTAAAAACCCGATTAAGACTTTTTAATAACTTTTAAGGTCCTTAATTATCTCATAATTGATTTATTAACCTTTAATGCTTTTTAAGACCCTGCGGTCTTAAATTTGCTTAAATTTGCTTCTCTGATTTAAGACTATTTTAAAGCCTTAAGAATCGCAGAAATCTAGAGCAATCCAGATAAAAGTCTACTAATGTCACGCAAAAAGAAATTTGGAATGATTAGGATAATTAATTTAGGATAATAAAACAAGAGAATTAGAAGTCTAATTGATAACTATTTTAAATAATAAACATCTTCCTGGATAAACATAAATGTTTGGACCTGGATGGATCATCCAACCACATGCCTAATAGTATCCAGGGCTTTATATTAAAACCCGCCAACCCGCCAAATCCGGGTAAATTTCAGCTTTGGCGGGTTAGACAGACACCTCTACTAGCCACTTTGGCTGGTTGAAAATCATTTTTAAATAGTAGTTTTCCTAAAAGCAGTGTTCAACAGTATAAGGATGACCCAATATGCGTGCAAATGTGATCTAAGAATTAAGAAATAAAATAATTGTGATCACGCGAGCAGAAGAAAGCAAGTGAATACCGAATGAGATAATGGTCTTTACTCGCGCTAACAGCTGATGTGATACGCGCGACTTCTTAAAACGCGTGCGCGCGACTGCTTAACGCTTGCACGCTCCCGAATCGTGAAGCAACCGTGTCTGGAACGTTCTGGAAACGCAACTGTCACCGGTTCTCTTTCAGATAAACTAGACAAAAAGTAATGAACATGCATCCACAGTCCTGATGCTTTTAAGAGCTCAAAACGTGTCTTTTTGTAAGCAGCACCGGTTGCTTTCACTTTGAACAGATTATTAAATTATTTTAATAATTTATTTAAACAAGCTATTTTGCTTGTTTTGACACATTAAACATTTGTGGCTAATAAATAATTATTGTTTAGTGTGGTTAGAGATAAATTTGGTAAATCGTTAATTTTGAGCTCTAAAAAAAAGTCATGAAAAATAAAAACTAATTGCAATATAACACTAAGAAACCATGACTCCTTTGCTCATGCTCATTGAGCAAGCTCATACTCGACTAACAAAAAGTGAAATAAATAAGGACACATGTGGCCATAACACAAAATTTAAATCAAGTAATTTTAGCATGTCAAAGTCAAATTTATGCATATAAAATATATTTTCCCAACAACAAAATTGTGGCTAGCAAAAATGCAGAGTGGCTAGTAACATTGGAAAACTAGAAGCCAAAGTGGCCAGTGACTAAAAAAGTTAATGTAAAGCCCTGATAGTATCCATAAACCTAACCAAATACAAACACAGGGCACTAATTGGTCGACATGAATTATGATCCAATGTACTCAAAATAAATCGTGTTATGCATCAATCACCAGATATAACCATGGAATAATGAATCTTTCAAGGTGATTTTGATTGAAGGTGCCATATGGGAAGTGTGCCACAGAACCCTGGCATCATGTAGGAGTACATCTGCTTGGTCTCGAAGTGCTTTGTGTGAATGTTAAGTTGATTGGGGCCGCATGATTGGGCTCACTCTAGCCTTTCATCTTCAGTGAAAAACGCTGCTGGAATAGAGGCGAGATGAAGAGGCTAATCAAATGGGAGACTGTTGAAGCTACTCACTTCTGTTGACGCAGCCGGCCTCGTCGCTGAAATCTGGACAGTCGTGCACTTTGTTACACTGTTTAGTGCCGTGAATGCAGGAGCCGTCGCCACACTGGAACTGATCAGGACGGCAGGTCAACACAGCTGCAGGACACAAAACAAATTCGCATGTGAGACTATTGTTTTCTTATTTATCAGCCTGGCCAATTAAGCAAGCAATCTTTTGGAGATTATCATGGCAGCAGGAAATTGCGGAGCAGAATCTGGCTTAATCCCAGTTTAAGTTGGAGCTAATATATATATATATATATATATGCAGCATAAAATGACTGATTTAGTGATAGCTTTTCACCAAATCTATAGATTTATTTGCTTCAATTATTGTGTTTTGTGAAAACACACTAAAATCTTGTAAAATGTATATATTTTTTTCATCTCACTAACCATTGGTATTCTAAAAACCTGGGTGGAATGACTGGACATAAATGTTTTTATTATTATTCAACAGTGGTTTATTGAAGAATTTATGACTTTGTGAAAGTTTAAAGTTTTTGTGAAAAAAAGTTGACAGTTTTGGAACAAGTGAAGGTTGGGAAAATGATGACAGAATTCTGCTTTGGGTGAACTATAAATTTAAGGATAAAAAAAAAAAAAAAAAAACATATATATATATATATATATATATATATATATATATATATATATATATATATATATATATATATATATATATGAACTACAATGGGGCTGGTGACGGTCGCTGTTGGCTGGTTCGAGCGTTGGCTGGGTCAATTGCCGTGTCTGTGGAGTTTGCATGTTCTCCCCGAATTCGCGTGGGTTTCCTGTGAGTGTTCCGGTTTCCCCTACAGTCCAAAGACATGTGGTACAGGTGAATTGGGTAAGCTAAAATTGTCCGTAGTGTATGTTTGTGAATGAAAGTGTATGGGTGTTTCCCATTGATGGGTTGCAGCTGGAAGGGCATCCGCTGCATAAAACATATGCTGGATGAGTTGGAAGTTCATTCCGCTGTGGCGACCCCAGATAATAAAGGGATTAGGCTGAAAAGAAAATAAATGAATGAATGAATGCATTGGGGTTCTGTTCCTTTAACATTTCAATTTATTTAAAAAACACTCTAGCTTTGTTTCTTTTTGAATCCATTCAGATGATCTCCCGGTCTGATGAAAGCACTTTTAGCTAAGCTTAGCAATAGATCATTAAATCAGATTAGACTATTAGCATCTGTCTCAAAAATGATCAAACACAAAGATAAATTTCCTATGTAAAGCTTGACTTCTGTAGTTACATTGTGTACTAAGACTGATGGAAAATGAAAATACTGTACCTATTTTCTAGGCTGATATGACCAGGAACTATACTGTCATTCTGGCATAATAATTAAGAAACTTTGCTGCTGTACCATGGCGGCGTCTAGCAAGGTTTCTTATTACACTAAAATGAGCTTATAGTTTCTAGCCATAACGATCTAGAAAATTAACATGTTTCATTTTCCCTCAGTACACAATGCAATTATAGAATAGTCAAGTTTATATAGGAAAATGATCTAAACTCTTTGGTCACTTTTAAGAGGAATGATGCCCAATTTAATGATCTATGCTAAGCTAAGCTAAGTTAAAACAACTCCTGCCAGATCTGATCTGCTGAACAGATTGAAAAAAATGGTAAAACTCAACTCTTTAACTTGAGTTGAGTTGTAAAATAGGCCTAATTACAAAAAAGTAGAGTGCTTCGTTTCAGACTACTCAAAACTCATTCATTTATTTATTCATTTTCTTTTTGGCTTAGTCCCTTTATAAATCTGGAGTCGGGATGGAGAATAAACCTCTAACTTATCCTGAATATGCTTTTTTATGCTTTTTTTTACTCAGCAAATGGCCTTCCAGCCATAACCCATCACAGGAAAACACTACAGAAAACTACATAGAGCAAATTATTCTATTTCTTTTTAATTCCACATAGACTGTGAAATTCTTCTTGTATGAAAGAATCTGCCAAATAGTGAAATTGAACAAACTAAAAGATAAAACCATGAGATGAGCCATTATGCTGCCAGATAAAAACATGTATACCAAAGCATACACTGCTTATTTATAATAATCAAACATTTGGCTTTTACCTCATTTCAAAAACACAACCCTTTATAGGGCAGTCAATGTTTTTTTTCCAATGAGTATTTCAATGAGTGCCCTATAAAGTGTTGCGTTACTGGTGTGTTACTCTGGGTTGTTACAAGACTTTTGAATGTTTTTGAATATATCTATTGTCATCCATGTCAATGAAGTTACAATATATGGTTCTTCACCTGATAAAGAATTAAGGCTTATTTGCAAAAGAGTTTCCTCAGAAAAAAAAAAAACCCTCAGAAAATAAAAACAATCAGTCACTTCCTCTGGGACACAAAAGAGCACTGAGGAAAGAAAAATGTGCTGTTTGGCAAAGAAAGTTCTTAATTTTTCACATTCATCTTTTAAAATCCTTTTAATCTTTCATACGGTGTACTTCAGAGAAGCTGCAGAGGGAAAACATCCACCGTGATCAATTTCACCAGTACACATAATTTATCTCATGGCAGAATGAAAATACTTCTGCATAAAAATACTTCTGGCCTACAAATTTGCCCTGTTTTCCAGTGAAAATATCTAACAAGGCTTTATACAATATATATTTACTTGGAAAACAAAATAGCAAATGATATTAATGATTCATAGTATTAAGTTAAACTCTTTATAAATGAATATGTAATATCACCTCTATTTTGCATCATTAACTGTAACTTGGTGGACAAACAGTTACTTAATACTCATAAACTGAACACTAGACAGAGGAAAAACTTTAATATAAAAACTATAGCAACTGTTTTTTTTTGGTCAAATTATTAAATTCTAAGCTAACTAAAATCAGTTAGTTACAAATTCTCTGTAGTTAAATAGAAGTACTATCTTAGACAAATTTGCAACTACACTGTAAAACACTGAAAAATTTTGCTATTTCACTGTAAAACCCAACAGTCAACCTTATCAAATGAAACGAGTGTAGTTAACTCAAAATTTACTTGATTAAATTGAGTTAATTAAATACCTCATTACTTCAAATTAAATGGAGTAAGTTCACAGTACTCATATAAATTAGTTTTTTTTTAACTTAAATGGTTTAAAGCAATCAGTTTTCTCAAACAGTTTGAGTTGCCTTAACTTATTGGGTTTTACAGTACTCAGTTGGTTTGAGTTCTCTTCATTTTTTGGGTTGTGCCGTGCTCAAATTGCTTCATGTACTTAAACTGATTAAGTTTACAGTACTCATTAGGATTAGTTTTTGAACTTAAATGGTTTGTTGCAATCGGTTTTCTCAAATAGTTTGACTTACCTTAACTTTTTTGGTTTACAGTGTGGATTTAAATAAGCATTAGCTTAATTAACTACAAATAAAAACGTATGACATACTTCATTTACTGTAAGTAAATATTCCCAATTTTATTTATTTAAATCACGATTATTGCAATTATTGCAAAAAACAAAAGTAAAAAAAAAACAACAACAAAAAACTAATAAAAATAAGGAGATTAAAGAGATATTTAAATCAATACAATAAAACTTCAAATAAAATGCAATAAAATCTTAAAATAATTCTTATTTTACAAACAAAACTGTAAAATTTAAAAATAAAAAGTAACTAACCTTTTATATTTTTTGATAAAAGTATCCTTAAAATACACAGAAAATGTAATAAAAATAAAAATAAAATAAAATAATACAATGGGAATATGTCCTGGTAATTAATAATACATTTTAAGGACATTTCCGTTCATTTTAATTCCTTTATATTAATACCCTATATTTTACAGTTGGGCGACGCGGTAGCACAGTAGGTAGTGCTGTCACCTCATAGCAAGAAGGTCGCTGGTTTGAGTGTAGGCTTGGTCAGTTGGCATTTCAGTGTGAAGTTTGCATGTTCTCCCCGTGTTTGCGTGGGTTTTCTATCGGTTCTCCGGGTTTCCCCACAGTCCAAAGACATGCGGCACAGGTGAACTGGGTAGGCTAAATTGTCCGCAGCTTATGAGTGTGAATAAGTGTTTCCCAGTCATAGGTTGAAGCTGGAAGGGCATTCGTTGCGTAAAACATATGCTGGATAAGTTGGCGGTTCATTCCGCTGTGGCGACCCCAGCTAAATAAAGGGACTAAGCCGGAAAAAAAAATGTTATGAATTAATTTTACATTTGTTTTTTATGTAAAACAAAACTATTTTAACATATTTACAGACATAAAAAAATAATAAAACTATCCTACAATTACAATTTGTAAAGATAACATTAAATAAATAATAAAAATAGGATAAGACCAATAAAATACATAAAACAGCATATAAAATATCTTTACCAGCAAAACATAAATCAAATTGAACTAATATTGAAAAATGCTTTGCATCCTAACTAAATAATAGTGTTTTAAGGAGGGCAGACAATGGCCTACAAAAATGCCAAGGTAAGACTAACACCCATGCAGTGCTTTCTCAAGAGCTACATCCATACCTCAAAACACATGTGTTGCCTAGCAACCAGCAAGACTCAGGCACATTACCATGATCCTTAAAACAGCAGAAGATTTACACAGCATCTCAACTCATGAAAATACATCATCATTATCTCCATAAACACACACACATGCAGGAGCAAACTGTTCTCATCAGTGTGCACATGCTCTGCATAGCAATCTGCCTGAAAACAAACCGTTTTGCAGGTTTTGTCTGTGATTAGGATTACATGTGCTCAAACAAAGCCATGCTGGTTTCCTCATGCCTCATGGAGAAACACATCTTTAAGCTAAAGTTAATAAACATTCACACTGACTGACTCCGATTTTACCACATTAAGCGTTAATTAAAAGACATGATTAATTACATGATATGCTAATTCATCAATATGGTTATTCACAAATGGATCAAAGAAGCTCTAAACCATAAAGGTATAATGCAGTTTTACATTTTCATTTTACATATACGTTAGAATGTATTATTTATTTATTCATTCATTCATTCATTCATTTTCTTTTCAGCTTAGTCCTTTAATTTATCAGGGGTCGCCACAGTGAAATGAACCACCAACTTATCCAGCATAAGTTTAATTGATGCAACAACTTTCATATTTATTGCAAGCATGACGCCACTGGCTTGCATAGTTCGGGACCTGTAGAGCTGCACATCGATGAATTTGCTCTTCAGTGTTTAAACTCAGCAGTGAATATTAAACCACAAACTGAACTTCAACACTAAAAACTGGACTGACACTGTTTCAATTTACTTTAATCCCCTATGTGAAGCTTCTTTGACGCAATCTACATTGTAAAAGCGCTATAGAAATAAAGGTAAATTGAACTGAATTTACACAGCAGATGCTCTTCCAGCTGCAATCCAACACTGGGAAACACTCATACACTCTTGCATTCTCACACACACACAAAACGACCAATTAAGCTTAATTCAAATTATCCTTTAGCGCATACCTTTGAACTGTGGGGGAAACCGGAACACCCGGAAGAAACCCACGTGAACAAGGGGAGAACATGCAAACTCCACAAAGAAATGCCAACTGGCCCAGCCGGGACTCGAACCAGCAACCTTCTTGCTCTGAGGCAACCGTGCTACCCACTGCGCCACCGTGTCTATCTATTTAATTATTTATTTGACACTCTTCATAAGTAATAAATGGGTGTGTGTATATAATAATTAATAGATTTTACATTAATTATTTAAATATAATGAATACATTTGTATAATAAAAGTATAATAAATTATTTATAAATGAACACACTGACTTTTTAAGAATACAGATCAACAAATAATTAACTGATGTTAGAATACATGCAATGCCTTTGTGCTAACAGAATTAACAAGACAATAGGGCCATTTTTCATACCTACACAATGTGCTTTACAAGGGCGTGACACTTTGAGATTAAAAATATTGACAAGAACAGAATACATGAAGCATTAAGGAGAGCATGTAATGCAACCAAGTGGCAAATTTGCTTATTAATTCAATTAATTAAATCATTCACCACACAGCAATGTAAAAACCTGAGGAAACATGCTTAAGAATGATAATGACAATCAGTGAACACATTTACATGCACACCAATACACTGAAAATTAGCTTTGAAATAACCTGTTATCCTGGTTTACATGCAAACCAATAACCCAGTGATGCAAGTAAACCATGTTTACAAGACAGACTTAACAAATCATTTTGTTTCCCTCCCAAAAGATAATTTATGTATCAAACTGGGGGCATTTGATTTATGTCAGTGGTCTTGTTTAATAAATCTTTAAAAACTGAAGAGTATTTTAACATGCCAGTGTGAAACTTATGGCTTATATAGCCTATTTTCTTTTTATATATTCTGCTGCATTTTGAATACAGCCCTTCTACTGAAAGAGTACAAGATGAAAACACATTTCAATCATTCTTTGGTTTTTGAAAGCATCTGCATTTGTGGTCTATGGCATCCTCCCTAACTTTAAGCCTTTTTCACTCTTTTCTTTAGGTAGAATTATGTTCCTGACACTATTATTTTAAAGATTCATTATTAGATAGGACAGTATTTAGACAGGAAGCAAAGTTGGAGAGTTAGGGGGAACTCGGGATGCCCTGACGTGCTGCTGCTTTATGTGTCAACATGCTAACCACTAGGCTATTGCGCCGACATGTTCCTGACACTATTATAAGAGTTATTATTGTTTCAATAAAAACTTATGGACAAAAGGTCTTCCAGGCTGAAGCAATGCTAGTTTAAAGGTCCCGTGAAGTGTTTTGAGACACATTGTTATTTGATGTTTGCCAATTGTCTCAACTGAAACACCAAATGAGAGTGAGAGATGGAGAAGCTCCTTATCTTTAAAAAAATAATAATAATACATACAAAAAAATATTTACTTAGATTTCAACAAATAAGTTTGCAAGCCAGAAAAACTCATTTAAAAAATAAAGTATATATGTAAGTAAGACGAAAAAAAAAAAAAAAAAACATGAATCAAATGCATTAGCATTTGCAACAGAAATGCAGGAGACATTTTAGCTTGTTTTTACACAAAGATTTACACAAACAAAAGTTTGCATAAGATGTTGGACAGTGGGTTAAATTTGATTTTAATAAAAATGGGGGAAAACCTGATTTTTTTTTTAACAGGATGAATTAGTGGAATAGATAATTAAATGATTATTTAATGAAACATGCTGAATGTGGCCTCTTTTCTGTATTTCTGTATTCATGGGCATTGTTGCATTTATTAAAACAAGTCCTAATACTGCACTACTAAATCATGTATTATGCGTAGCAGAACACACCTTTACTTTGAGCTTGCTTTCCTCTGCTTTTCTTTTCTTACTTCTTTCGGCTTTGGAAAGATGCCGTTTGATTTGGATGCCTTTAATTTTAAATTAAAATTCAATTAAGATCGATTAAAAAGGCAGCAAGAGTTGTGATGTTATATTACTTAGGACTTTAAGACAATTTTTGGCTTTATATTCAACGTGAGCAGTTTGGAGAGATACAGTATGTGGAATCAGTGCAGGAATACGTTACATCATTTTAGTTCACCCAATAGACGATCGCGGGCTGGGTTATGCAAAACAGAGTGTGGTGTTGGTGTGTATGTTTCTAATATTTTCTGCTTTTATTTATACTGTTGTTGTGTATTTATTATAGTTTTACGCTACATGTCATGTATTGTAAAGAGCTAATATTTAAATGAAATGTGAAAGTTATTTTTCTTTCTCACCATTGTTGTAAATTGTATCACGTTTAATAAATAGGTTTTGAGCATTGCACAATGCCCTAGGTTTAAACGTTCGCACTTGTCCTTGTGCTTACGTTCACATAAAATTTAAAATAAGATAAGCGGTTGTGGGCCCCTCCAAGAAATGGGGGGTCCTAGGCGACCACCTATTGTGCCAGTAGGCGCTGAATCAGTTAATGGAATACTTTCCCCAATTATAATATTTCTGTCAACATTTACTATCCCTTTACTTCTTTCAAACCTTTGTGAGTTTCTTCCTTTGACTGAGCACAAAAGATGATATTCTGAAAAATGTGGGAAACCTGACTGCCATAATGTCTTAATGCCTACTAAGGAAGTCAATGGTTACAGGTTTTCAGCTTTCTTTATAATATCTTCTTTTGTGTTTGACTCATAAAGGTTTGAAACCACTTGAGGTAGAGTAAAAAGTGAGCCAATGTTCATTTTTGGGTGAACTATCCCTTTCATGCTTGAGTTAGAAATCTGCACACAAGCACACTCTGTATATTGAAAGATTTTGGATGTCTTTCAGACTTACGACAGTTTGCTTCATCCGACTTGTCCTTGCAGTCTGGATCTCCATCACATTTCCAGTTGAGATGAATGCACTCTCCGCTCCGGCAGCGAAACTCTCCCATGGAGCAGTGAGGTTTCTGCGGCTCTGTCCTGCGGCTGCACCGCTCCAAAGACTCGTCAGACTTGTCTCTGCAGTCGGGGTCTCCGTCGCAGCTCCACGGTGTTGGGATGCATTCGGAGTCGTTGCAGCGAAACTCATGTGGGCCGCAGGTGCTGGCGGTAGCGGCGGTGCACTTCTCCTCATCACTGCGGTCCCCGCAGTCATCATCACCATCACATACGAATGTTGGAGCCACACACATACGGTTGCGACACTGGAACTCTTTCGCAGGACAAGCCTTGGCATCTGGGGGTGAAAATGAGAATTTTATACTGTGAATTCCTTTAAATGCATATATGAAATATCATTCAAGATTTTTAAACAAAATTTTTTTATTATTTTAATTTATTTAAAATTATTTTAATGATTGTAAAGATTTTTATAACCACTCAAGATTTTTTTCATTTAAACTTTGATGCATCAATTGCTTTTGTTCATATCTCAGACAGTTCAACCTATTATATTTTATTAAAATATGAATGACAACAGAACATGGGTTATTCTACTAATACTATATATATATATATATATATATATATATATATATATATATATATATATATATAAATATATAATTATTATTATGATTATGGAAAGAACAATAAAGCAAAAAAAGTACACTTACTAAAAAGTACTGAAGGTTTTTCATTAAGCCCACTCCACAATTCACACATTACTGTCTGGCAAGTTTGTGTCCTCTACTGATATGCTAAACAGGCAATAATGGTCCAACATTTCTGACCATTATCACCAATAAAACCTAGAAAAATTGGGCATCAGTTTATTGTAAACCAGTTAAAATATTCCTTTCCAGTTGTCAAAAAAATAATTTGTTACTCCATTTTAGTTTTGTAACTATTAAAAAGTTTTCATTTCAAAATTGTATTATATACATCAGTGTAAAATCCATGTATGGTGGAAAAACATATTCAGCAATTGTTCACCGGGCAAACTGTTCAGTCGAGTCTCAAAAAATGTTGTACTCTCCAGCCAAAATCATGTCACGCGCAGCAATAGCAAACCTCCGCAAACACCGCGACGGCGTCACATTCATTGCGCTCAAGCGAACATTTCACATTTTATATTTGCTCTGCTGTATTTACTAATGCTTGTAATTTTTTATGATTTTTGCAAACACACTGCAAAAAAACGGACTTGATTATTCCAATCTATGTAAATCAATGAAATCTTTTCAAATAGAGCTATTCAATTCACCTGGTGAAATTATATTCATATCACAATATATATTGCAGTAAGACAGATTTGTCCAATATCGTGCAGCCTTAGTAAAAACTATTAAATAGAGACGGCATTATAATGTAGACACTATTAAAACACTGTACATCAACTAGTTGTTCAGTACAGTTCTGTACATACATTATTCTATCTTTCTGAATGCACATGTACAGTGCTCAGCATACTGTATATAAGTACACCCCTCACAAATCTGTAATATTATATTTGTGCAATATTAACAATATTATATCTGTGCATACACATTAGATTAGTTAGTACTAAAGCCAAATTTGGAGCTTATCTTACAAAATAGCTTTTGATAGCGGTCCAAAAACTAGTTCACCCAAATTTATATATTATAGAAAAATATTAAATATAAATCTAAAGTTGTAATTGTTTTTGCAATATTTTGCTTGAGTTTAATTGTTTAGTTTGGTGACTAAAATATTATTTTAATAAATATATCTGTTTAATAAATCTGTTTTGGTTAAATGCACCAATATACATTGCCTATAATCACTGAGAAATGGATAAAAATATGCATTTTCAAAATGGGGTGTACTTAATTATGCTGTGCACTGTATCTAACTAAACTATTTGAAAATAAATTAAACAGATCAGAACAGGATTAGACACTAAACAGCGAACTAAAATATTAATTTAGCTGTAGTGTGCAATAGAGGTGTAAACCTATACTGGTCTCATGGTTCGGTTCGGTTCTGATTATCATGCCTTCGATACGGTTAAATTCGATATCTCGGTGCATCACGGTGCATTGACGATGCTTTCCATATACAGTGTTATATTTTAGGGGGGAGGCTATAACAAGCTGTCTGTATAAACACACAGACACACAGTACCGACTGTCTCTCATTCAAACACATACACAAACATAGACAGCACCAAAGAAACAAACACACACACACACACACACAAACACACACACACTTAAGCCCTCGCAACAGGGAGAGCTCGCGCTGAGTGGAGCAGAAAAACTAACAAAATGGAAAAAAAGAAAAAGAAAAAAGAAGCACTTTTCCGACGGTCCCTTACTGAGAGCTCCTCTCAGCGCGAGCTCTCCTGACTAAACACATATTGCGAGGGGTTAAACGGAGCAGTGCTCTTAATGTCGAGCAAAAAAAAAGAAAGACAGCTGTGAAACATAACCAGCTTTGTCTTTTTGTAGGAAACACACGGACCGGCCCTGAGTTGGCTAAGTGTTGTAAATATTCACGCTCACCTCCCTCGCGACAGAGCGCATAGGAGATAAATGACGTCAGTACATAATAACCGGTTATATTTATTACTGAACCGATACCTTATTGTCCGCGTCTGCATCGCGCTGCACCAAAGAATCAATTAATTTTGACACCCCTAGTGTGAAACAACGCCAACAAAGCCCAATGCCAAACAATGTTCTTTTACTTAACGCTGGCAGAAACCAAACCAGCGTTATCACCATCACTGTGAAATGACTGAATAACATTGATAAATGTTCGCAGGAAATATGGCAAATGTAGCATGAGCTCTGAGGTTTTCAGTGCTGATGTGAGCTCCGTGACCTCACTGATTCAACTGTTCGGCGGATGACCCCGAGGTTCCCACTTCAGTCCCACACTGGCGACAGACACTAAATGGGCTTAACTGTGCTGTAGTAAACGCCTGTCCATTCTTTAATGGGGTCAAACACCCCGCCGGAATAACCGTCCCGAAGAGCTGTAAGGCCACTGGGTATTACATTTACGAAACTAGCCGCCGTGACAAGGATTTGAAATGGCTTACGAGCATGTGATCTGGTGCCAGCCCGTTTGAGCGGATGGGGTGAGAGAGAATCGATTAGGACTGTATGTGACTTTGTGTCGATAAACCTGTAAATATGTAAAGTGTCTGCAAAGAGCAGCTGGGGCTCGTAAAACACTTTCAGCGTCAAAATGGTGACATTATCAAAATTGTATTGCCGGACTCGAAATCAATGTTATTTGTGCTGCTCACAGAAAGGTCATTCTTGTTGTTCATTGCTACACTTTAGCTGATTCATATTTCATATTTCTGCCACCTACGCTGGGTGCTTTTGAAGCCAATTACAATAATGCTCAATGAGATGTGTTGCTAATTGTGTTTTTGCAAAGCTGATTAGTCAACAAGCATCTAATTGGGTAAAAAAAAAAATCCTGCTTGTAAAATAAGCTGTGTTGTCAAACACTCAAAGGTCTCTTCAATGACTATTGAATATCTGAGGGGAAAGGGTAAAATAACATCTCCTGGAATGACACTTGTCGGACAAACTTACGGTTGAAATATGTAGATATTATCTAGCGACATTTCTCTTCCCTCAAGGTCAAGGTGGATAACAAACATATATGTTGTTAAAAGAAAAGAGAATGATTGGGTGTTTCTTGTGTGCACAGCGCATTGGATGGAAGGTTGTGTTTGCTCTAACCAGGAGGAGATTGGATTGGCTGACCCTGCTCTTCTCTCGAGGGACAAGAAGGGCAGCAGTGAAAATGAAAAGGTGCTCAGCCTGTGATGTAGACACCAGCCTAAAACAACATCCTCTCAAAGAGCAACAGAACAAACGCAGACAGCTTTATCAGACGCAGTGAACTCAGACTGTACCGCCACATTCCAGCTGGAATGAAAATCAAATACTCTGACTCCAGAAACTTTCAGAATATGTGAACAGAATGTGTAAAATATATTCACATACTGAATAAATAATAAAATAAAATGCCTCAGTAATAGTCTTGAAACAAATTATATGAATCTGCTCATAATGTGATAAAACCAATCTCACACAATCTTTTCTTTTTTAGTTTTTGGTTTATACATTGGAGTATAAGCCATATTTTATACATTTATTTACAATAAAGGACAAATAGCCTACCAGTTTCAATTTTATTCAAGTCTCAGTCATTTAGTCATGAACTTGTCTTTTTTTTTCTTTACTTCTGCTTTAATTACACATTTCTATTATATTTTAACATGTACATACACGTTTACCAGATACAACATAAACCAACAAGCAAACAAATGAACAAACAAAACAATAGGCTTTTTAGTATTTTACATCAGAATATCAATAGCACCTCTTTACTAATCTTCTATTGAAACATTTCCAACTCCACTGCCTTTTAAAAAAAACATTAAAGGTCCCCAACCTTTATCAAAAATTATGTATTTGTTACTTAATATATAAGTTATTTGTTTTCTTTTAAGTTTGTTACCAACTATTTCTCTTTTGTTACATCTCTCTATATTTCATTTCTTAATATAAGTTATTTTTTGCCATTTACATGTTTGTTGCCATCTCTTTCTCTTTTGTTACCATCTCAATACATTTTTAATACATAAGTATTTTTTCCATTTACATGTTTGTTACCATCTCTTTCTTGTTTGTTACCATCTCTATTTATTTCTCAATATGCAAGTATTTTTTTTTCATTTATATGTTTGTTACTCTCTCTCTTTTGTTACCATCTTTATATATGTTATTTGTTAATATAAGTTATTTTTTCCATTTACATGTTTGTTACCCTGTCCTTTCATTTTGTTACCATCTCAATACATTTTATTTCTTAACATGTTATTTTTTTTTTATTTACATGTTTGTAAGAACCTGTAATAAATGTTGTATGCATCTTTGATGCCACCACATGTTCTCCAGCCTTCGGCGCCTAGACTGCAGCTCTGAACAAGAAGTTTGTCCAGAGAAATAGTCGTGCCCAACAGAGCCAGGTTTCTCTCAATGTTTTTTTCCCTAACTTTCGCCAATTGGTGAAGTTTATTCTTTGTCTCTGTCGCCACTTGCTTGCTTGGTTGGGACTTGTAGAGCTGCGTACAGTGCTCTTCAGTGTTTGGACTTTTAGCAGTGAAAATTAAACCACACTGAACTGAACTAAACGAAACTTCAACTCTGAAAACTGCACTGACACATTTTCAGTTTACTAGAACTTTTTTGTTAAGCTGCTTTGACACAATCTACATTGTAAAAGCACTACAGAAATAAACAT